TAGTTTGTAAAATATCTGAATAGGAGATATTATATATTGAATATTTAGAACAGGGCATGATGGGCCATGCCTATAACCCCAACACTTGGGAGGTGAGGTTGAAGTGGGAGAATCTTCATTTTGATACCAGCTTAAACTACACCGTGAGACCCTGTCTCAGAAAACAAAGGAAACAGTGCAGCATGGTGATGAATACCTGTAATCCCAGCACTCAGGAAGCTGAGGCAGGAGGATTGCTGTGTGTGCAAGGCCAGCCTGAAATACATATTGAAATCTTGTCTCAAAAAAAAAAAAAAAAAAATCCAAAAGAAACAAATTTTTTTCTTTTATTTTGAGACCAGGTCTCCCTGTGGAGTTCAGACTGGCCTTGAGCTCACTTTGTAGCCGAGGCTGGTCTTGAACTTACAATGATCCTCCTGCCTCAGCCTCCTAAGTGCTGGGATTACAGGCCTGCATCACCACGCCTGGCTCTAACAAAACAAAATTTTAAAGGTAGCTGATAATGGAAGTTGTTTTGAATTGTATACCTTCTAAAAAGATATTAAAAAAAGAGAAAGAGAGGAAAAAAAAAAAAGGATGTAAAGTCCAAGCTTCCCTGAGCCGGGAATATGACCTTACTCAGAAATAGGGTCTTTGTAGATGTAATCAAGTTAACATGGTGTGGTTGGGTCCTCGCCTACATGTGGGCCCAGACATGGTGTGGGTTGCCTAACATGGTGTGGGTGGGTCCAGACCACCATGTTTAGCTGGAGAGAGAAGATGGGTGTGATGGTGCAGTTTGTAATCTCAGCTACTGGGAAGACCAAGACAGAAGGGTGGGAAGTTCAAAGTCAGTCTGGGCAATTCTGACCTTGTCTCAAAATAAATAATAATAAAAGCGTGGGGCTGGGGATGTAGCTCAGGGATAGAGAGCCCCTGGGTTCAATTCCCAGTCCTGCAAAAAAAGGGCAGGTTGGCTAACACCACATGGGAGAAGGCCTCGAGGAGGTGGAGGCCCACACTGCAGGGACACACGCTTGACACACAAGTCAAGGATGCCAAGGAGGGTAGGCAGCCACCAGAGGCCAGGCAAGGAGAGACTGTCCTCCTGGGACTTCAAGGAGAGAACACGGTCCAGCTGAACACTGATTTTGGACTTCTAGCTCACAGAACTGTGAAAGAAAATTTTTCTATCACTACCAGTTTGTGGTACTCTGTTAATGCAACTGGGAATCTAGAATCGTATAAAATATTACTTACTTTTATGATGAAAAAAAATCACGATGGGCTCTCATAGAATCTGTGGTCTTACCCTAGTCAGGAAATACGGGAATTTTAGTAAAACAAATTCAAAGAAAGTCTCCGCTGGCACTAGCACCTTGTCTGGGAACTGCCATTTACCTATCTTCACAAGTCACATGGTTTCAGTTCTCAGCCCGACAAATCTCATCACAGCGCAGCCGTGCTGCACTTTCTAGACTTTGATCATTGCACCTATCTGCTTAAGACCTTCAGTGGCTTCCTCCCAGTTACCCCACAACAACAGCCACACTCCTGGGGCGTCTCATTCACTCCCGCACTCTCTGCTGCTCTGTGCTGCTTGGTCCACTCCTACGTTACGTGGCTTCCCTTCAGCCTCACTGCTCGGCCAGTTCCTGTCCCACTGCTGGAACTGCCGCTTGGCTGCCCTCCCAGGAAGTCCCGTCTGCTACAATTACCCTGGTTTGGCATTGGCTCCGTACTGAGGCATAGCTTCACACAATCTCCCTGGCTCAGCACTTGCCAGTTCCCTCTCCGTGGCCTCCTCTAGGGTTGTTACTCAAAAGTCATCCACAGACAAGAAGCATCGGGGTCACCAGAGTTGACTAAACATACAGCACCTCGATCCAACCAGAGCTCCAGAAGCGGATGTTCCTTTAACCAGGTTCTCAGGTGATTCTTATTCATGTGAACACTCTGAGTCTTTCCATCTGAGGTTCTGCTGGAGGCAGGGATGCTCTCTACTAGCCTAGCACACTGCACTGTCTGTCCTACAGCAAATTTGCTGTTAACAAACATGGTATACAGCGAAAAAATTCCCTTTATTGGAACAAATAGAATGAGGTCTAGAGCTGGCATATTCCATCACAAGCTTTCTCTAAATACCTCTTTATTCATATCTCATATCATCTTGTTGTCAGATTTCACTTTCTGCTTGATATATATGAATGATTATTTTATTACCAATCATGTTTGATGTTGTGATATATATGTTTATATACTAGGTTATATAATATATAAAACTCTAAGTAACAACACAGACTTGCACTGCCATATTTGAACTTGATTGATGCAAATAAATTAGTGATAATAGTTTAAAAAATTATTATTCTCAGTCCTATTTTTTAACAGACTGTAGGAAATTATAACACCTCAGGAGAAATTTTTATTCATTATTTTGTTAGCTCCAATGGCTAAACTCTCCTCGTGTTTTTTTCTTTCTTTCCTTCTTCTTTTCTTTCTTCCTTCCTTCCTTTTTTTTTTTTTTTTTTTTTTTTATCTTTTTGAGACAAGGTCTCCCTAGGCAGTTCAGGCTGGCCTTGAGCTCATTTTGTAGCCCAGGCTGGCCACGAACTCACACTGATCCACCTGCCTCAGCCTCTTGAGTGCTGGGATTACAGGAGTGTGCCACCACGCCCCGCTTCCTGTTTATATTTGCAGGGCAAGTCCAACATTAAATGAGGTATTGTTTTTCTAGAGAGAGGCACAGGTAAGAGAAGCTCTTCACACTGTTTCTAATTTCCTTCTAAAATGTTAGATACAAAAGTAAATTCATGGACCAATTCAAATTCAGTCTTAAAAAGTTCTTTTTCACCCAGCTGCTTAGGACTTATGTCTGAAGCTCACCTCCCCCACTTTGTTTCCTATTCTCTCCAGCAAGTTGAATTTGCAATTCCCTGAAAGGTTTGTATCCAGTCCAGGTCAACAACCTTTTATTATGATAATGTTAGCAGACAGGATTGACACACCCTTTGTAGGTAAACAATGTTATAACTTGCTTTACTCTTTCTCTGTGTATGCATTGCATTTCAGTGTGCAAGGTTTGAACAGAAGTTTACTAGTCTATGCAGTCAAGAAATTAAAGGTAGCCGGGTGCGGTGGCACACTCCTGTAATCCCAGCACTCCGGAATGAGGCAGGAGGATTGTTGCGAGTTCGAGACCAGCCTGGACTACAAAGTGAGCTTAAGGCCAGCTTGAACTGCATTGCGAGACCCTGTCTCAAAAAAAGAAAAAGAAATGAAAGATGTTCTTATGCATTAAGGAAGCCAAAATGAGCCTTGAGCTGGTCACAGTGGTTTTGAGTTACCAGGTTTGAAATAACATGTTTCAAGGGCCACATCGCCACACGGTTCTCTGTGGCATGTGGAGATAACTCCTGAATTTGGTCCGCTCTTGTCTTTAGGTATTTACTGTACTCAAAACAAAAATAAAAACAACAAAATTGCTTAAATTTGAGAGTAGTTTTGTCATATACTTATTGTCTATACCTTTTGCAGGCCCAAACCATAAATAAATATTTGCTGGTTTGTGTTGATTGAGTGATTTAAGATAAACAAACAAGCTCAAATGCCTACTGGGGGCAGATAATGTAAATGAGAAAAGCTAACAGCAGGAAGTGTAGGTGACCCGGACCCCCGCCCCTCCAAAGGGCGTGGCTCTCACCTTGCTTCAAGCCTGCACTTTTGGAAAGCGCGTCCTGGGTTGCTAGAACCACTGACTTCTTGAGGGATGCAGGAAAGCCACGCTTTTAATACACTGCTTCTAAGTGCTGGAAGTCAATTCAGATTTTTACAAGATATTTTGCAGACTAACTCTGTGAACCCACACAAACCCTTGTAGGAAGTAAATTCACTTGTCAGGAACCAATTTGGAAGTTATGCCTTAAATAAACAGATAATATAAAAACACTCATTTTCTAACACTATGATTTTCAGGAAGGTCCTAGCGGGTAAGAGCTCTGGCTTCCTGTGGGCCTCCTTGAGTTCAGATGAGGCATAAGCTCTCTGCTTATGTGAGCTTGGGCAATTTAATTTCCGTAAACCTCAGCCACAGCACCTGTAAACTGGCCATGAGGATAAGAAGGGGAGGGGGCTTTCTGGGATTGGAATGAGAAAATTTAAGCTACAGCCCTTCGCATTAAGTGGCCTTCATATCTGTTCACGATTCCTAATTCAGTCCTCCCCTAATAATAGTTATTCAAGCACCAGCCAAATACTGCACAAGTAATTTCACGTTCTCAGATATCTCAACCATTTCTCCACAAAAAATTTGTACGTTTTCTGTATGATGACTCATTCCTTATTAAACCTCCAGAATAAGCAATATCGACACAGGAAATATGCTGCTTACTTCCAGGCCAGACCGGGGGCAGAGAATCCGTCCCCTTCCACTGCCGCTCCCCACTCGCCCTCACCCGCACTAACCCAGGCTCTTCCAGAACGCCACAATGCAGCAACTGCACAACTGCAATGTTTAAATTGTTCTTGGACCTAGTACTTTTCTATAGTCTGACACCTTCTCCACTGTTCTTACACTCTCCACTTCCCTGCAAATATCCATGCTCTGAGTTCGAAAAGTTTTCTTTCTCTAACTCTTTTCGGGGTTTATTTACAAATGTCTCTAATTGCCCATTTCTGGTAAGGACTAGGCGCTTGGCTGCTCCCCGCCCTCCGCTTTCCTTCCGGGAAAACCCCTCTCAGGGCTCCTAAACCCCGCACAACAGCTGACTTGACTTGGGGGTTCGCAAGCCGACCCCCCTGTCCTGCCACCCTGCTTTGGGAAGTCGCTGGGAGCCCGGCAGCGTCCCGCGCCCGGGCGGGTTTGCTATGCATCGGGACCGGTTGCGCAAGGCGGCGTCCGCGGCTCAAACCCTGCGGCTTCTCGCGGGGCGGGGACAGGGGCGGGGACAAGGGCGGGGACAAGGGCGGGGCGGGCCTCAAGTTTCCCTACGTCACTTGGGAAGTCCCCATACGACCCGAGGGCGGGAGCCGGCACTTTAGAGGATCTTGGCTGCGGTGGGGTCCGATCTGCATCTCTGAGCCTTGTGGAGCGACCCCACCCCGCCCCCCGTCCCTGCCAGACCCGCGCTCAGCCGCGCCCTACCGAAGCTCAGACTGCGTCCCCCGAGAGGGCAGCAGAGATCGCGGCAGCGGAGATCGTGGCGGCGCCTGGAGAGATGCCGGGAAAGGTGTGTAAGAGCACGCCGCCGCCGAACTCCACGCGGGCACCGGCAGGTAACCATCAGCTGCAGCCCGCGGAAACCTAATCCCGGTGGGATCCGAGTGGAGGCTGGAGGTTGGAGGTGGGCGCGGATCCCCGCCCTTCTAGGCTTGGCTTGAAGGCCCAGAGCCTCCAGGTCGGCCCCCGCCGCGCCCTGCCGCGTGCCTTCTGGCGCTTCCACAAGTTCTTCGGAGGCGTCTCCCAGGAGATAGGGATGGAGCTGCATTCTGGGCAGGCCTCAAAGGCGCTTTCCCGTTCTCCTTAATTGCTCTTTCCTGGGGCCACCGGGAGAAGTGCAAATGGAGGCAGCACCCGGTAGTCTTTGTTAAGTTAGGTGGGGGCGGAAGAGGGCTCCGGGCATACTGATATTACATCTGACCACTTTAGACCCCCTTTTTACTTTTCTTTCTTTCTTTCTTTTTTTTTTTTAACTTTTTTTTTTTTTTGGTACCGGGAGTCGAACTCAGGACCTTGCGCTTGCCAGGCAGGCGCTTGTGCCACTGAGCTAAATCCCCGGCCCTGTACTTTCATTTTATAGTCCCGCCGGTGGTGGGGCATGCACAGGAAGTGGGACATCGGAAATGTGACCATGGCTCAGTTGGCACCGGGCTGGCTGCTCGTCCTGGCCCTGGTTTGGGATGGAGAAGCTGTGCTCACCTTTTGTGATGTCCAAGTGTTCTGACCGTATTTTTGAAAGGTCTGATCTGTGCATATAGCGCTCTCTGGACCGGTTTACCTAGTTCCCAACAGAAAGAGACAGCAGGAGTCCTCTCAAACTTATTTAGACCTTAGTACAATTACAGATGTGTAACTGCAGTAAAAAAATTAAGGAAACAAGGCTGGAGATGTAGCTCAGCGGTAGAGTCCTTGCCCGACATATGCAACACCTTGCGTTCCATCTGCCCCGCACCCTCAAACAACCAGAACCCATTTTCTGACATTTTGTTGTTGTTGCTGCTGCTGTTGCTGCTGTTGTTAAAGGGGATAGTTTTTCTTCACAGAGACAAAACTTCGGAAATCGTATGTTCGGTGATATTTTCTAAAGACTGTATATTAATCTATTACTGCCTTTGTAAATACTTAGCATGTTTGACCCTGAAGCCCATTAAAAATTGCACATTATATGATTAGGTTTCCTAGCAGAGCTTAGGGAAGATTTCACTCAGCTCTTGCAGAGAGAAAAATGGGCTAAAGTGTAAGTTTTAGAATTTGCTTTACTATGTATTTACATAACTCATTCATTTTGAGCCTGTGTCTGAACTTATTTACAAAATACTAGGCTGTTAATTGTATTCATAATTATTTTTAATATTTGTACTCATAGTCTTGAAGAGGACCAAAAAACATCCTGAATTGCTTTTTGAAATATTTTAAAGATTACAATATATGGATTTTGTGCTAATTTTACTTATGACAAAGTTTAATTGGAAATTGTAAGGTTGATTTTTTTTCTTAAAATAATATTTAGTTATAGTACCTAAATTCTAAAAAGTAGCAAACGTGTGAAATAAACTTATTTTCTGCATCATTCCTTCTTATGTAAGCAAGGCACTGATACAGATTGGGCTTGTAGGAAGAGACTGATTTGGGTTAACATGTAAATTTTAAGCTATTTTAGGGAGTGTATTTAATTTGGGAGTAACATTTTTATGAGTCTTTTATGAGAAAAATATCAAAGAGTTTTTAAAGGAGGGCATAAGTGAGCTAAGAAATATTGCTACTTGAAGATCAAATCTACTTGTAAACAACGCATATGTTTAGAATCTGACTTCTGTTCCCTGACTAACCTTAAAATGAGATCCTGACATCCCCCTGGGCTGTGAAAGGCTGAGAAAGTAGTAGTGCTTGACACTATTTCCATATTTGAAAGCAAGATGACACTTGCTTCAGCCAACATTTTTAAGAAGATTTTAAGGTAAATGTGTATATTCTTACTCTTAAGTCTTTCTCGCATTTGGGAAACAGGTGTGCATGGAGCTAAAGTTAAGAGAAATACTTCTGGGATGTGCTGCTTGCCTCTTGAATGGGGGCTGTCACTTGCCGCCTATAGCTTTGACTCGTCACTGTTTATTTCGATGTTTCCTTTTCAGAGCTGGCAGCTGAGTGTGCTGCTCAGCATAGGAGAATCGGAGACAAACTGAATGCCCTGGGTTGTGCCACGGAGATCCTGGAGACGCTTGCAGAGATGCCTGGGAAGAAAGCTCGGAAGAGCGCGCAGCTGACTCTGACCGGGGCACCCGCAGGTGCGGAGTCCTAGGGCGGGGCAGTGGGGTCCAGGTTAGTCTGAGGGGACTCCAGGCGGCCCAAGACTGCACCAGGTGTCAAGGCTTTGTGCCCTGGCGCATGCTTGTGCGACACTTCCAGGAAGCTCTTTAGTCGGTTGTCTTAGAACTGCGGACCTGCGATCCGTTCTGGCCTTGGTTTGGGGTTGGCTTGCAGCGGCTAGTTGGTCTGGCCAGAAAACTGCTTCTCCACTGCTTTTCTCTTCCCTGCACTTGTCTTGTCTTGCCTGGGACCATGCGAAGAAAAAGTGCAAGTACAGGTGTCGCCCCGAGCTAGTCATTGTCTCAGCGAAGGGCCGGTCTGTCTTGCCTCAGAGCGTCCCCAGGCCCGCACTTTCTTCCACCTCTGCATCCACCTGGGAGCGTTCCCGGTCCCCCAGAGGGGCAGTGGCCGCCCCCACTTGCAGCTCGCTCTGGCTGTCGAAAGAGAAGTGTTTAAGCTTGATACCGTGCTGGGTTCGCACTTCCCACCTCACCAGGACTGATGACTGACGAGTTTACGGCGGGACTCCTGAGTTCAGAAGCCTGGGAGGTCTTCCTCCTTAGTTAACATTTTAACAGGCCTTTCAGAAAGGAGTCCGGGGTGGGGACTGCCGAAGAGGAGGCAATCAACCTGCTTTGTTTTTCATTTATACTTCCCCCCCATCACAGCGCTCCCCACTCTGTTCCCTCATCCTATCCCATTTTGTAAGTGCTATCAAAGGCTATAGTCACCTGCCGAGGGGTTTTAACAAGGCAGGTCATAAGGCTCCTGGCTGGAAATTCCTTGGACCATACTGTGATTACATCAGCCTATATAGGTCCCCCTTTACCCTTTCGTTTTATGTAGCGGAGCTGCGGGCACATGCACAGGAAATGCGGTACATTGCAAATGTGACCAGGGCTAAGTTGAAACTAGCCTGCTCGCCTTGGCCATACCTTGGGATGGAAAAACTTTGTTCACTTTTTATGATGTCCAATGGTTCTCACTACGTTTCCCAAACACCTACTCAGAGCAAAACACTTTCTGGATGGATTTACTTAATTGCCAAGTAACAAAGAGCAGTAGGAAACCCCCCCCCCCCTTAAAAAATATTATTAGCACCCGTATAGGTGAGTAACCTCAAATAAAATATTAAACTGAGAGTTATTTTCTGCTCCTTTTGTGTGTGGGTTTGTGTGAAAAGGATGATTTTTCTTCATAGAATTCAGGGCTCCCCAAATTGTATGCTGGATGATTTTGTTTTGGAGGTGCTGAGGATCCAACCCAAGGATCTAGACTACCAAACAGGCCTTAGCCCATAAAAAATAACATATTGAAAGATCTATTAGTTTTCTTCTTAACCTTTAAGAAAAATTTAACTCAGCTTTTTGGTTGAAATGTAGGTTTAAATATTTACTATATATTTATAGTTCTTTCTCTTTTCTTTTGAGCCAAAATAGGATCTTTGAAGGGTCTTTTTAAAAGAAAACAAGCAAATATAAATTTGTAGTCTGATTATCATTTCCTTGAAATAGAACAAAACGGAACAAAACAACTTGAGTTCTCTTTGAAAATGTTCAAGGAAATCAAAATTATGAGCAGATGGTTTTAGAGTTAATTTTATTTAGAGTGTAGACTTTTGTGGATAATTCTTGTGGATAAATTTTTTTAATTTTGAGAAAATATTAGGGCTTTAATGTGGGAAAGAGTAAAGTTTTGATTTATCTATTAAGAAGGCAGGTATAGTTTGAGCCATGAAATAATACTATTTGAAAACCAAATCTACTTGAAAACAACATAAGCATTTGGAAATAGACATCTGTTCCCTGGCCAGACTTTTTTGGGCCTCCCCATGCAGTTCAGGCCAGCTTTGAGTTCACTTTGTAGCCCAGGCTGGCCTTGAACTCACAACGATCCTTCTGCCTCACTCCCTTCCTGTCTCACTCCTGAGTGCTGGGATTGCAGGTGTGTACCACCATGCCAGGCTGCTCTGGCCAAACTTGAAGGAAGAGAAAGTCACCTTGCTGTGCAGAAGGCTAACTGATAGTACTGCCTGTAGTATTTGACACAAGAAATATTTTTGTATTTGAGAAGAAATTCTTGCTTGTTTCTGGATTACTTAAAAAATATTTTTGAAAGTAAATGTTTATATACTTAAAAATGGGTTAGTGTGTATGTCTGTTGTAAATAGTCTTTCACTTTGGGAAAACAGGTACATAGAAAGCTGAAATTTAAAAAATGTCTCCTAAGATGAGGATGTTAACTCTTGCTGTTTACAGTTAGGACTGTTGTCAGTGTTAACTTTGATGTTTTGCTTCCCTTTTTAGAGCTGGAAGTCGAGTGTGCCGCTCAGTTCAGAAGAATTGGAGATAAACTGAATTTCCGGCAGAAACTTATGAATTTGATTTCCAAACTCTTCAGTTTAGTAACCTGACTGCTTCCAAAACTTTTGCATGAAGGAACTTCTTTCAAAAGAAAGTATCCCTAGTTGGTACCAATCCTACTGATTAGAGGAAAGATTACATTATAATTGAGAGAAATGTGAAGGAATATTCATTCTCTTGCTTCAGGCTGCCTTTGGAAAGGGAAGATGGAATAAGTAGAGCTTTGAACGAAGGGGAACAGAGGGAAGTAACTAATTCTGCCCTGTACTAGGGATTGAACATAGTACCTTTGCACTGATCTACATCCCTAGACCCTTTTTGTTTTTTATTTTGAGAAAAGATCTTACTAAGTTGCTGAAGCTGGCCTCAGATATGCAGTCCTGCCTCAGCCTCCCAGTGTGCCGGAATTTCAGGCATGTGTCAGCAAATATCCTCCCTTTTTGCTTAGAAAATCGTTCAAGTATTTTTGCTGTAGGTTTCTGCCCAGTGTAGTATAAAAAAATGTTGGCAGATGATTAGACTGGGCAGGGGAATAGTTCTGTGTTTTTTCTTCTCGGTGACAACGCGAGAACTATATATAATACAGAATTTGGTTTATGCATATAATCTTAGAGGAAAAATTACATTTTGATAACACTGAATGCCATAGTGAATTTGGTTTCATAAGTCACTATAAAATGTAAAATAATTTTTTAAAAACTTGGATTGTATTGTTTCTGTTCAGAACATTTTTGAGTATATTCCTGCAGGCACTGACTGCAAAGTATGGAAAACTAGGAAGTAACTTAGAAGTGGATAGTAAAACCTTTTTTTTTTTTTAAATTTTTTTTTCATTGTTTTTTGAGGCAGTCTTGCTGTATATTTTAGGCTGACCTTGAACTCCCTGAGGTGTGCACTACCATGCCTGGCCTTACTTTTTTTTTTTAAAGAGCTTGGGGATTTTATATAGAGCAGGATAATGAAGAAAGGGAACTTGACTTTTTAAGTGATGTAATTAAAACCTAGTAAAACAAATATAAGAGTTTTCTAGAAATTTCTACAGTGCTTTCACATTTATACATCAGAAAGTGATCTTTTAAAAGAAATTAGAATATTTTCATAATTAGGATATATTTTTAAAAAGAGAACAGATATTTCTCATCAAGAATGAAAATTCCATAAATGCATATATGTATATAAATACATATATGCATACCTGTTTAGATCTGTATGTAGATGCTTAAAAGTTTGATGATTTTCATTTAGTTTCATGGGCTATTAAACACGAAGTACAAACTACTCAATAGAAAAACAAATTTTGTTAAAAATAGTCTCAAAAAGTAGGAATGGCGTATGTGATTCAGAGAAATGCAAATGAAAACCACAGTGAGGTATCACTTTATACCTGCTAAATTGGTGTTTAAAAAAACATTAATTACAAGTGTTGATGAGGATGTGGAGAAAAGGGAAGGAACACTTGTACATCCTTGACTACTGTAAATTAGTACAGCCATTTTGGGAAACAGTATGAAGGTTCCTTGGAAAACTAAAAGCGACCCTGTGACCCAGCCTTCCCAGTACTGGGTATACACTTAGAGGAATTGAAATCAGTACTCTGAGAGGTAGCTGTGCTCTCGTGTTCACTGCAGTATTACTTACAATAGATGAGACATAGGGATGAATGGATTTAATAAGTCGTGTATAAACATCATGGTGTACTAGTCAGTCTTTCTTTAAAAAACAGGCAGTGTTGTCATTTGCTAAAACCTAATGGATGATGTGGTAGGTGAAATAAAACCAGCCACAGAGACAAATACCACAGGGTCTCATATATACGGTGATCTATAAAAGTCAAACTTGAAAAAGTTACCAGAGCCTGGTTGTGGAGGTAGGGTGGGCAAAGGGGTTAAGGGAGGTATTGGTGAGGGGGTACTAAATTAGAAGTGAGTTCCGGTGTTTTATTGTACAGCTGGGTAGTTACTGCATATTTCAAAACAACTCAAAGTCTTTGAAATGTTCTCACAAGAAATGTTAAATATCTGAGGCAGTGAACATACTAATTACTCTGGTTGGATCCTCCCGCAGTGTACCCATGTATTGGAACATTTTATCCCATAAAAATAAACAATTTATCATTTAAAGTAAAATACCTGAAAAATACCTAAAAGAAGAAATAATGTTGTGATTGAATTTCACTGGGAATAATATTATTTATTTTACCTATTTATGATTAAAATATTTTTTGTTTTAGTTTAAAAACATGTATTAGTTGCCTTTTTGTTATAAGACAAAGGTTGTATAACTACTTGACTTCTTAACAGTAAGAATGTAGGCTAGTCACTTTGGATAAAAGAAATTATACCTCAGCGTTTGGCTGTCTTTAGTATTTCTTAAGGTTTGTTGCAAAGATTACGTGTTTTTTTTCCTGGGAGTGATATTTTGTCATGTGTATTTATGGTCTGCTACTGTATTTATATAGATGTACTTGTGAAAGTTGATTACTGTAGTGAATTATTAAAATTTAACATGACTTCTTTGTGTATGTTTGTTTTTTTATCTTGTAAGCTACTAAGTGTTCATTATCGAGCCAAAATGTTTTAACTGACTTACATCAGCTGGTATCTTTTGATTGTATCTTCGTTCCACTGCTATACTAGGAGCAGAAAATATAGGGGTGCTTGGCCTGTTTTCTGTTGTCAAGGGACTTGGACTTTTAATTGGGGAGAGAAGTAATAAAAAATAGGAAATTAATGCCAGGTATAGGTCTTGAGTGGAGAGTGATTTAAAGTAGCCTAGAGATTCATGATCTAGTTAGAGGTATTTAGTCCACATCCTTGCCTGCCCTTTGGGAGGGCAGGAGCTGCTCTGCAGTTCCCGTTTAGTGACCTTGGGCTTCTCTCTTCCTCTGTCCTCAGCACTAGAGCAGCAAAGATTGCTTCATTCGGAGTTAGTCATGTGCAGAAGTAGGTGGACTTGATGGCCTTCCTGTTTGAGTGTGAGAACTGAGAAACTTGGTTTGTCGCTTAAATGTAGGAGCCACACCTTTACTCCACCCCTGCCTTCAGAAGGAGTGGTGACCTTGCAGGATGTAAGCCATTGCCCTTAAGTGGAAGCTGGGAGAAAGGGCTGGAGGGGAGCACAGTGGACCAAGCCCGTCCCTCAGAGAGGGGAAGGACTGTACTTCCGGAGAGGGAGGTCGGTTTCAGAGTTTGCGAGAGTAACTCCTACTCCAGGCAACGCTGGTTTGCTGAAGGCACCTTGTGTGCTTTTTTTTCTTTTAAAGTAACAAATGAAGACTTAGGCACAGATTTCACCAATCTGAAGCTAGGAAGAAAGTATTATTCTTGAGAACCTTATTTTAAGATTAAAAATATCCTAAATATCCACGTAGTTGTATCTGTTGGCCAACAAAGAACTAGCATTTTTACTTGCATTCATGCGTGTAAGCTCATCTATATTTGAAAAATTACAACGAATCATCTCTATTTCAGCAAAAGGCCCTGTGTTCTGTGATTTGGGGTTTAGAAAACTGCTGTAACTTCAAAGATACACCCGCCGCCCCAGCCTCCGTATCACTGGGAAGGAGCAGCATAAATGGTGAAAATTTGTCTAACTCTAAGCCTTTTTTAGAGGGGACAGTCCAGCAGGACAATATCAACCCAGAATGGTGATGGAACAATAAGACATAATACCCTATACTGGACTCCTCAAACTGGACTTTCAGGGCAAAACCAAGTGGGCCCGTGATCACACTTTCATCAAACTGTGTGACCATGGGCAAGACGCCCTCTGTGAGCCAAAATCTAAAATCAAGAGACCCTGGTCATCCTGCAGGTCTGTGGTTTTCAGAAAACATGATGGCAAAGGGATTTGAAGGCCTCTCAACAGTGCTAGTTATTCAAGAGTTCATTTCAGACAGTATGAGAAAGAACTGGAGAGCATGCAAACAGAGGTGAAGGAGCGGTGTTTAGAAAAGAAATACATTTGCTAACATCTTTTCCCTATATGTATACACAGTGATTCTAAGGCTTAGAGAAGATTGGCTGGGACTGCTTGCCCTTGTGAATATTTTCTTGGAAATGAGAATTCCCAGTGCACGCCTTTTTTCCTGATGATGGTGACACGCAGAGAAAACTTATATGCAGCGGAAAAACGTGGTGATTTGGCAGGACACACCTTACTGTACAATCACTTGAACATTCTCTAGTAATAGGTCATGGTTAAAGGGCAAAACCTTTGTCCATACAACTCACTTTAGGCACTAACTTTAGGTTCTCTTACAGATTTTCAAAAATCAGTTTGACACACTTAAAGTGACATGTTCATACTCACCTACACTTTCTTCTTTTATGGTCTTATTCCCAAATATGTTATTCTTCACATCTGCGGAGAAAAGGGAGTCATGATAAAAATTGTAGATGGGGATTTCTGACCCCTTTATTCATTGTTCTGGTCCTTTCCTTCCTATCCATAGGGTCTCCATTTTGCTGGGATTGGAAATTGCACAGCATGAGGAGCCTGGGCTTGGATTTGTGCAACAGAACAGAATAGAACACAGAACATGCAAATTAATCTTTGACATTTCTTGTTTGAGGAAAGACCTCAATTCCTTTGGTCATGCTCTTTCACTCTGGTCTCTTAACAGAGCTAATGAGTTTGCCCATTTCCAACCTCACATCTTTACTCAGCTATTATCAAAACCATGCAATATTCTCCCCACAACTGTCATTGCTTCTGGCTTTGGAATAAGACCTGTCATTTTGCTACTTATTGTTTGTATGGTTCTGGATAAATACTTGGCCTCTGTTTTCTTCTAAAGTGGTATAAAATATATCTTTCTAACTATCCTGAAAATGAGATGACAATGTATGTTCTGTCAGTGCCCAGAAAATGTCAGTTAACTTTCTCTTCAATACGGAGGGTTAGAGAGTAGGTTTTCACAAAGCTATGGAGGATTTTGCCCAGACTGAAATGAAACCTGTGAAGCAATGTGAAAGGGTTCATGGTAGAGCTGGAGAGGAAGGGGCAGTTTTTGCTTTGAGTTTTGCTGTCACTAAGAGCTTACAAATTAAAAGCAGATGGACCAAGTGCTTTTAATTTGTAAACTCTTATTGATGGCAAATCATTTATTTTCATCCTGTCTATAATGGGCTTTACAGATGCTGTTTAAATGGCCAAAGTCTCTTGTATGTATTCATATAAAAATTCAGGTCTTGGTTTTTATAATACCACCTCAAGAAATAGGAAATAAAGAAGATTCTGTCTACTCATTTTGGATTTGGGTAAGTTTACTTTGGATAAGGCAGTTTTTCAGCAGGGGCTGTTACAGATCTCTCCCCTGAGAGAGACCAAGCTTTTCT